TTATATATACTATATATAAGACAAAAAAAAAATAACAAATGTCATTGTGTAGCAAAAAAAATTTTAAATTATTTTTTTTATTAAAAAACTTATTATATAACAAACATCAGTATATATTAAAACTCACACATTCACTCTAATGGCAGAATCAAACTCACTTACCCACTTCAGTAGACAAATAACCAGACAAAATTTGTTCATGAATCATATAACAAACAGCACGAGTTAGTAATAAAGTAAAGCAAAGAATTAACATACAAAATAAAAAATAAAAAAATTTCAGAAAAGTGATATCACTACTATATACTAAAAATGACAAAACCAGAAAATGACAAAGTATGAAACCTATACATGGAAACTACAAATTCTAGAATCTGAAAAAAAAAGTTAGTAAGAGTTAAAAATAAAAAAAAAGACATAAAAATATCTTAAAAGCTAATACCTAATGAATACAAAGTGACAAAGCCTTAAATTTACACACTAAAAACTACAAATTCAGAAATTTGAGTGCTAATAAAGAAAAATATTAATATTCAAAAAAAAATCTAGAAGGTAAAAGATAATACTTGCTAAAAATAGCAAAGTCTAAAACCTATATACCAAAAATTATAAATACTAAAACCTGAAAAGAAAGTAAATGTTAGTAATAAAGAAAAAAACACTAATATTCAAAATAAATTTAAAAGATAAAAAGAAGCTTGAATCTACATACTAAAATCTACAAATCATAAAAAAGTGGAAATTAATAATGAAGAAAAAATGTTAATATTTATTTAAAAAAAATTTCAGAAGGTAAAATGACAATATCTACTGATAATAACAAAGCCTGAATTTACTGAAAACTATGAATCCTGAAATCTGAAAAAGTGGGTGTTAGTAATAAAAAAAAATGTTAATATCCGAAAAAATCTAGAAAGTAAAAAGAAATACTCACTAAAAATGATAAAGTCTAAACCTATATACCAAAAACTATAAACTAGAGAATCTAAACAAAAAAGTGGGTATTAATAATAAAGAAAAAATACTAATATCTAAAAAAAAAATTTTAGAAAGTAAAAAAAATATTCATTGAAAACGACGAAGCCTAAACCTATATACCAAAAACTACGAATCAGAGAACCTGAATAAGAATTTGAGTTAATAATGAAAAAACACTAATATCCAAAAAAAAATATTCTAGAAGATAATTAATAATATCACTGAGAACGATGAAGCCTAAATCTACTGAAAACTATAAATTAAAACTTAAAAAAGTAGGTATTAGTAATGAAGAAAAAACACTAATATCCAAAAAAAAAATCTAGAAAGTAAAAAGAAATATCCACTAAAAGTGATAAAGCCTAAATCTACATACTGAAAACTACAAATTAGAGAACCTAAAACAAGAAAGTGGGTATTAGTAATAAAGAAAAAAATGCTAATATCCAAAAAAAAAAATTTCAGAAGGTAAAAAGAAATATCTACTGAAAATGACAAAGCCTGAATCTACATACTGAAAACTATAAATCAGAGAAATTAAGAGTTAATAACAAAAAAACGCTAATATCTAAAAAAAAAATTCCAGAAGGTAATTATCAATATCACCAAGAATAATGAAGCCTGAATTACTAAAAACCATAAATTAAAACCTAAAAAAGTAGGCGTTAGTAATGAAGAAAAAATGCTAATATCTAAAAAAAAAAAATCTAGCAATAAAGCCTAAATCTACATACTGAAAACTACAAACCAGAGAACCTGAAACAAAAAAGTGGGTATTAATAACAAAGAAAAAACACTAATATTTAAAAAAAAAAATTTCAGAAAGTAAAAAAAAATATTAGTGAAAAAAAAAAACTCTTCCTGATGATTACCTAAACCAAAATTTTTCACTACAAAAAAACTAGAACTACTTGTTGAAGAGTTGTGGTCTATATAGTAGTTTGTCTAAAAGTCAACTATTACTCTTAGGGACTCCTCTAAAGAAGGATATTTGGTATGCAAGCCAGGAGCATTATTATACAAGATAACTGGCAAGCAGTGCTCTTGTATAAAAAATCTTGATGAAGTATGGATGGGGTGGCTCAACTCTGTTAACGAAGCTATTAGGCCGTTACTTCAATAAAGAATACAGGAGAAACAACAAGAAGCTCTGCTTTTTCAACACACTTGTTTAAAAATTTTTGAAAGTACTGTACTTGCAACTCTCTTCTCTTTCCTTTGGTTTTTCAAAAAAATTTTTTCAAAAAGTGGAGATTTGGCTTACCCTCTCCAAAAGATCAACAGTGTTTACATTCCAAATCTAGATAGCCAAATATATTACAACCACGTGTTCGATAGATATAGTACTACTAATTTGAATAGGTTCTGGGTTCTAATAGTGGCAGCAGGTGGCTTGAGATATGGATCTATGGATAGCAGCAGCACCTGGCTTGAGATACGGATTAGGTCCGTGGCCAAATATTCTGGAGTCGGTCATACAGTTTGAAAGAAATACTAACGTTAAAGCAAAGCTTTACAGTAGAGATATACAAATGTTGTATTTGTTATATAATTTTTATACTTGCCTAGCATGGGTTATAATAGTGCACCCTCTTTTTTTTTTTTTTTTTTGTATTTGTTTTTGTGCTATTTCTTGATAGAGGTAGCTGCTATTTCTTACAAGAGATAGCTTTTTCTTGTTCAGCCTGTCAGGGCTTATCTTTTTGTTTTTTTACATTTTCCTTTTCCTCCATTTATATTCCTTACTATCTTCTCTTTCTTGTTTTGTATATTAACTTTTTTTCTTTTTGATATACATTCCGGTATTGAGAATACAGAACATTATTTTCTTTTGCTCTTGGTGAAGAAAGTAAGAATAAAAGAATAGGCTTTTGGTGGGCTGACAAGGTCTTCTAACTTACATGTAAGTTGGTGCAACAAGTCACTCTTGGGCACACTAGATGTAGCTAGATGATGTTAGGCTTGCAATTTTCTATACTGTCATTATTCATTCTGTCCAAATTTGTTTAATAAAGTATTGTATTTGAGCTCCGGCAAGACTGTCAAAGAGCTAAAAAAAAAAAAAAAAAAAAAAAAAAAAAAAATATCTACTGAAAACGATGAAGTCTAAACCTATGTACTGAAAACTATAAATCAGAAACCTGAACAAGAAATTAAAAGTTAATAACAAAAAAATGCTAATATCTAAAAAAAAAAAATAATCAATAATATCACTGAGAACAATGAAGCCTGAATTTACCAAAAACTATGAATTAAAGTGGGTATTAGTAATAAAGAAAAAATGCCAATATCTAAAAAAAAAAAAATCTAGAAGGTAAAAAAAAATATCTACCGAAAGTGACGAAGCCTGAACCTACATACCGAAAACTACGAATCAGAGAACCTAAAACAAGAAAGCAGATGTTAATACTGAAGAAAAAATGCTAATATCCAAAAAAAAATTTTCAGAAGGTAAAAAGAAATATCTACCAAAAACAATAAAGCCTAAACCTACCGAAAGCTACGAATCAGAGAACCTGAACAAGAAATTGAGAGTTAATAACGAAAAAATGCTAATATTCAAAAAAAAAAAAATTCCAGAAAGTAATTAATAATATTACTAAAAATGACAAAGCTTGAATCTACTGAAAACTATGAATTAAACCCTAAAAAAGTGGGTGTTAATAATGAAGAAAAACACTAATATCTAAAAAAAAAAAAATCTAGAAGGTAAAAAGAAATACCCACCAAAATTGTCAAAGTCTGAACCTATATACTGAAAACTACGAACTAGAGAACCTAAAACAAGAAAGTGGGCATTAATAATGAAGAAAAAACACTAATATCCAAAAAAAAAAATCTAGAAGGTAAAAAGAAATACCCACTGAAAGTGATGAAGCCTGAATCTATGTACTGAAAACTATGAATTAGAGAACCTGAAACAAGAAAGTGAGTGTTAAACAAAGAAAAAATGCTAATATAAAAAAAAAAAATCCAGAAGGTAAAAAGAAATACCCACCAAAAATGACAAAGCCTGAACCTATGTAACTACAAATCAGAGAACCTGAAACAAGAAAGTGCTTTTAATAAAATCTAATAACCGGTTTTATATCCTATTGATGTAAGAGGTTAATGTTTATATCCTAGGTTATATTCGGGTAAGATCAATACATAGTTATCAGCCAATCAAATTTATATAATTAACTAAAGAAAATTTCCATATACTAGTATCTTCCACCATGCTTCAGACAATGAACTCTATCATGTTTTAATAATTTTATATGGACCAATTGGCAACAATTGGGCCCTGAATAGAGTCACTAAATTTGTTTCAAACCCCTTGTTTAATTTTTTTTGATTGGTCTGACGAATTATTAGGGTGATTGTTTTGATTTATTGAGGGTTTATTCTGCACTATTATGCAACAAGGACATAATGAACTTGCATCAAACCCATTAGATTATCGTCTAATTATTAGCCTAGAGCTATTGTTTGACTTTGTTATTGTTATGAGTAAATGTTCAAAATAAACCTTTCGCCTCAGTCTTTCAGACAATTGTATTGTCAAATAAACTGTCCCACTATGTGAATCAAAAATTTTTGAGGTTCTCTCTTCTGCATAGTGTCGCATATTGGCCCATATGTATTGCTTGATTTATATAACCAGCTGAAATTGATTCTATCCTGACTAGTGATGCTAATAAACGTTTTATTGTCACTATGTTTTGGGCTTTATTACATAATAAACTTGCTTTTAACATATATAGTAGTCAATAATTTATAAATACAATATAATTTTATCAAAATTTTATAAACAAAGCATTCGAACATAATCGATATATGTATCGTGGGCATTATGTAAGGATAGGATTACGATTGTTTTATAATTATGATATAATTATATTTTACCCTATTTTAACCTAACTTATCTTTTAGGTTAACCGGATATCTTAATTATTTATCTGTTAATATTAATCAATTTTACCATCCGGTTATCTGGGTAACCTCACAGTTAACCAGTTACTATTCCCTAGGGACGACCACTATTCCAATGACAGAACAGAAATTTTTTCAACACCCAAGAAGATTCGCATACTTTTTACAGAAGTAATTTCAGAAGCGGATAGGTTAAGCGCACTGACGTTCATCTGAATAGGCTTCTGATTTTTTAAAATGAGGTAACTTCAGGGTTCGATTGCTTAGTACATATGGAAATGATGTTCTCGAAAAGTCCTTTCTGAATAGGACAAAGAGTTTATAACCTTTCGGGTAAAAGGTTAACCGGGTACGACCGAGCGCGATGCAAACACTACCGAATGGCAAGCCTGGATTTTCATCGGCTTCTAAGCAATCTGCTGCTTTTGCGCGCCTACCTGAATAAGTTGGTCGACGCGCTGATTGTACTCTTCAAGCCGTACGAGTTGCTGCCGGCTCAATGCCGTGGCTTGATGCAAAAAACTTAGCACCGGCCAGCGTTGTCTACGATCTTGGAGGTATTGCTGGCCAACATTCCAAAAATGTTTAATTACAAAAATAATAAGAAGATACCCTTGCCACTCGTTTAAGAAACGACCCTGCCAAAAGGCCTCGTCCCAATGGGGCAATAACCATTGGAGTAGCTTTAATTCTATCCAAAAACCGACCATCATCAGGATACTCATGATTAGCCCTTCCTGAAACCACATCTCATCACATACAGATAGCGACTGAATGTACTCGGAAAGGGCCTGCCTTTGGAGTATCAGTCCCTCAGATAGGGGCTGAAGCCTGTTTAGAAACAGTTGCAAGCGCCCTTTAGATTCCGGCACTGAAGCGGAGTGCTCCCATTGAGCTATCAATACAGCATAACTGTGTAGAAACAGGGAGAGTAAAGGGAAATTATAGCCGATTTCAGCTTCGAACCTTCGAAGGGGTTGTCCTGTATGAGGGTCTAAAAATCTTCCATAGCGATCCTGAGCTAAGCGCAAACGGTTGATGGAATGACCTTTAATCAAGTACAGAACTCGATAAAGGATCTTATCCGGAGACCGAAAATCGTCGCTTAAACACCCCCTCATAAAGGCTGGAAATCCTACTTGGTTAATTTCTTTGAGCACTTGCGCCAAGGTATGTTCGGGTGGTTCAGCATTCTCCACTGGCAGTTCAGGCGAGGTAGTAGCGTGCGCTTCCTGAAGCGTGCACACACCTCTTGCGTCATAGCTCAACCAGCGGGCCCATTTAGTAGAATCTGGCTCTAAAGCGTGCAGTTGTGCAATCGCTGCTTTAATGTCCTGTTCACTTTGGATTGTTTCAAGAAATGGTCTTGGCATAGCGGTATGAATATGAATCGAAAATCTTATTTTTATGATACGTAATTGTTTCCACTAATGGAATTACTTATTTCTGCAGATAATGGAATAAACAATGAAGATCCTATTAATAAATTCAATAACAAGATTAAACAAGGTTCGAGTTGCACAGGATGTAGTTGCAGTGAGATTTTGCGATATCCATACGTACGTATAATTAATTGAATTTGAAGCATACGTATTTACTTTAGCAAGACACAAACTCAAAAAGTAATTTTCTTATATAGATCGTAAGAGCAGTAACTCAAAATAATACTTAAACAAAAGCACTTTTTAATATCGCTATTGTTTTTAAATGTGAAATTTGCTTGTTAGCCAACGCAACCTTTCATTCTACCAGGTGGGTGAAAAGTCCCTGTACTTATATACAGTGTTGGCAATTTTATCGGCCAAACAAAATTTTTTGGCCTTTTCGGCCAAAAAAACATATGAATTTGGCCGAATTGGCCGTTTTTTGGCCGGCCAAAAATATGTTTGGCCGGTAAAATTGCCAATCCTTCTTATATACATACGTATATACGTAATATATACAATATATATAGTATTAATTAAAATTACCGGTATTTAGATCGATAATCATAATGATTAAAAAAAAGGGAGACTTTTTCACCCACCTGGTATATTAGTTTTACATTTGTTGAAATGAAGGTCCAAGGGTTTACAATATTGCCACTATGCAAACCTCATTGAATAAGTTTTTGCGAATGAATTGTTTGAAGAACCAAAATTTTGGTTGAGTTTTTAATAAATCATATACTGTATTTCTTGGAAATTTTTTCATTTTTAATGAATGACCTTTGATTAACTAAATTATGTTTTTGGCAAGGTTCAGCAACTTTTGTAAAGTTTAAATGAATTTCTTTTGATGCTTATTCAATTTTTTTTTTGAATTTTGTAATCATAATAGCAGTCGAATCATAAATACATCATAATGTATTTAAAATGTTTTTTAACAGATTTAATTAAATCAAACAAACATGATTTTAAAATCATGTTTTAAAACATTTGCCATCAATTATAGATTAACAAAATCAATTGATAAGTTTTTTACAACAATCTTACTATTGTTCATATGCAAAATATAGCCGTGCTGGATGGGATCAAGATTTTAAAACTTAACTCTTTATATAGTCACACTTTCATATAAGCACCTTCTATATAAGCACATTATCTTTATAAGCATAGTTACTTTTTGAACCAACTACTATTAAACGTATAAAAATTATTCTCTACATAAGCACATTTTTCTATATATGATCACTTTTTATAGGTCCCGATCAGTGTTAGAGATCTGAAACTTTTTTTTGTTCTTTGAGAACATAAATTTTAAATTTTAGGTTCTCAGAAAGATTTTTAATGTTCTCAAAAGTTTTTAGATATAATACAATTTACAAATTTTATGTTCTCAAATGAGAACATAATTTTTAAAAATTGTGTTCTCAAAAATATTTTAATGTTCTTGAGAACACTGAGAACATTAGATATCTAACGCTGGTCCCGATGGTGTGATTATATGGGAGTGTGACTGTAATTAGTTTAGTTAGCTATATAATAAAGTATTAATGCATTAGAAAAAGAGTCTTCTGGAAACAAATATAATCTAAAGTAGAACTTAATGACAATAATCACGTGGGCAGTTTTTTTTTTATAAATACAATAAGGAGCGCTGGGATCAAGATAAGAATCAAGAATCGAGATCAAGATAGAGATCAATATGCCTTACTATAAACCGATTTCAAATTTGTGATACGTTTATTTTCTTTTTTAGTCATTTTTCGCTAAAAAATCTTAAAAGAGTGGTAAAGAGAGGTAAAAGAGAGGTAAAAAGAGAGGTAATTTTAACAGCTAAAATCGTAGCACAAATATGAAAGAGCTTTTTGAGTGAGGTAAAGAGAGGTAAATGGTCTCGATTTAGGGTTTGAAATAAAATAATTTTCTAAGAAATCATTCAATATCGATATTGCAGCAAACATTTGAATCTGCGAAAATAGGTAGACCATGGGGAAGTGATGAATCAGAAATCAATGAAAATGGATGATTCTTCGGTTATCATTGGTCACTGCTTGCAGTAATCACAAAGATTCGGGTAAATTAATCACTATCCTTAGGGGACGTCCATAATTTACGTTAAACCAGCATTGTTATAGGGATCTTAAAGATAATACAAAAATAATACTATGTTCAAGGTCTCTATTTTTATACAATACTGTACTGGTTTAACGTAAATTATGGATGTCCCCTTTATATTAATGACCAACCATAATGAAATACGTATAACATGCTTTACTGTTACCAATTTAATTACGAATTTAATTACGAATATAATAAATTACGTTGTAGATCTGCAGTTGAAGCAAAGTGATAATCGTTGCATGGTAAAAATATAGGACAATTTAGGTCATCCGAAAACCTACTTTACTGTATAGGTTATACCGGGATCAGAGATCAGTCCGATATGAAGTCCAATAATGTGCATTTATATTTTCACTGGACATCACTGGACGTCACTAGAACTTCCATCCAGTGGTGATGGAAGGGTCTAGTGACAACTCACTTACTGAAACAGTTATAACTTCCAAACTGTTCCATTTAGTTTCAGTCAACCTTCAGTTCCAACGATATCCACTGGAACGTTTTAGCAACAACACTACATAATAAAAAAAATGCAATCTCTGAATCTTAAGTATATCTTACTGAGAAATAGATTCAACCCAGAAAAATGGTAGTAAGCATATCTTCGTGGGCATGCCTCTAAAGCACGCAATAGCGCCTATAATTTTGAATTTCGGCCTAAATTAACTTAATTCGGGCCTTATTCAAAATAATGCCCATAGACGTAAATTGCACATCAAAAAAACTATAACTTTCACCTCTAATGATTAAATATAATTTAATATCTTCTAGTTACTGTAAATAAATATCTTCGCTAATTATTAAAATAATATTTTCGCTAATTATGCCATCTATACTTTTTCAATTTCCGTTATTAATTGATCGATGGGAAAAAAGTATTCACGATTTACGCTTTATAAAAAATAGTGCTATTTTTAAAATTATAAAGCTATCGCTATATGTGTGATTTTATTGGATTTTATTGGCTAATTATCATGTGTTAGGTAGGTATGTGCCCAATTACAAAGCACTATTCAATTTCATGTGATTGAAGTTTGGGATTTCGCTGTAACAAAAGTCCAAAATACCATGATATCATTTTATTTATCGATTTTATATTTTTAATCTTTAATCAATATTGATATCATGGTTTGGTGATAGAGCTTGGGTTACATCACTAGTAATATACTGTATAGAAAATTAAAAAGTTATAAATTTATATTAACTTCAACACCAGATATTTTTTCTAATTTTAGCTTGCTGCAACCTATATATTAGCGTTAGAGCAAGCAAAATAATACTTTAATTTTAATTAGTTATAAATAGAGAATTAAAGATATAATATTACACATTAGTATAATTATAGAAAACTGCTTGTAATTATATTATTGTAATAGCTTGCTTTTTTATACAATATTAATAAAAAGTGACCAGATAGAATGTAAAGTACTTCTATTTTAAAAAGTCGTACAATACTCAATACTGATCCAGTATATATACAGATGATGCTGAAATTAGAACCTATTCAATGTACGATTTTTAAAATTTTTTTAGGTACATTTTTTTAGGTTTTTTTTTTTAGATTTGGAATAAATATAGGTGGAATTTAGTAGAGTTTGTAATTCTAAATTAAGGTCCTCAGATTTCTGCGTCATCCCGCGGTAAGGTTAGAAATATCGGATTATCTAGTATGGTAAAAAAAAAAAAAAATAGACACTGCAGTACTGTATTTTTAACACCTCCATACCATACAATTCTGGTCATCTACACTGTATCTAGTGTCGGGCTGACATCAGAAACTTATCAGGAATTTTGGAATTATGAAAACTGTCGTGAATAAAATTAGAAAGCTAGAGATCAATTTAATTTATTGTTCATTTGCAATTTGATCCGTTATAAGTAACGGCTCGGTTCAGCTTGAGATTGGTCGGTTTATAAATGTCTCCCGAAGGATTATCAATATTTGTAGTGTGACAAAAATTTTAATCTCACGTGGAATATATAATGTAACATTAACTGTTGATGTTAAATGAACCTTGTGTCCATAAATTACATTAAATTTACTAGGAAATATGAACAACCAATCAAAATTTCTGCCTGTAAATATTCTTCGAAAAATTACAAATGAAACAATGAAAATGAAACATTACTTTAAATCATCGAGTACACAAAAAAAAGTTCATAGTATAATTAGTATATCTCATCAGTATGGTGATCCATTTGCTACGCCACATTTTTTTGAACACTGGTTTTATAAAAAGAAGTTTATCCAATTTTCGGTTTTTTTTTAAAGATACATTAGAGATTACCGTTTTACAAGACTTTCCTTTAACTACTTCTTAAATATTATGCCCTTAAACTACGTAAGCATTTGTATCGCTCTTTACGATTACACTGCTCAAAACGACGATGAAATTTCCTTTAAAGAAGACGACATACTTTATATTCTAGAAAACGACGACGACGAATGGTGGAAAGCTAAACTAAAGATCGAAAAAAGCGAAGGTGATGAAAACACTGAAGAAGGCCAGATCGGGCTTGTGCCTAGCAACTACATCCAGGAGGTATGTCGTTGAAGCTTTCAATGTACTAGAGTATAAGTCTATAGCCGATCGTACTTGGATTATGCAGAGATCTGCTTTTTATTTAGATTATTGTAAAGATCCTTCAATCTTCTTTAACAATCGCTGTTGTATTCATTATATTGTTTAGGCCGAATGTAAAAGTGTTTTGAAAGCTGTTTACGATTACGAGGCACAGTCTGACGAAGAACTGTCATTTAAAGAAGACAATATATTATATTTATATGATAAAGATGACTCTGACTGGTATTTGGTTAAATTCAATGATGTATTTGGTTTTATACCAGCAAATTATGTCGAAGAGGTTAGTAAAAATAATTTTTTTTTATCAATTTCTATATGATCTATTCCGAATATAAAAGATCATCAGTTAAAATTAAAATTAATTTTCTGGTTGAATGCATTATATATACAATTGATTAATCATTATTTTTGATCTATTTCATTTTTAGACATCGATTGATTCTGAGGAACAAGAACAACAAGAAAATGAAGAAAATGAAGAACCAAAGAAAAAAATGTCTCTATTTGATGCTTTATCGGTATATATAAAGCATTTATCAAATATACGCAATCTTTATTTTTTTTTCAATCTTGCTCGATTCTAAATCTAAAAAAAAAAAAATTTTTTTCTTATTATCGTATTCAGAGTGCATCTGATAATAAATATGTTGATCCATTACAATTGTATGCTCGTAAAGTTGCCACTCAAAAAAGTGGCACGTCATCGGCACCTGATGTTAAGACATGGTCTGTTTCGGTAATGTATTTTATTATTCATTTCTAATTGATATAATTAAATTATTTAAATAAGTTATGTCATTTTTAACATTCTATATTTTATTTAGGAGGTTATTGTTGTTGATAAGAAAAAAAAGAAAAAGAAGGGTAAACTAAGTATTGGGGGCGAAAATGTATATTATGCTAGCGAAACGGACAAGGTATTTACATTTAAAGATGTTAAAAAAAAAAATTATGATTTATATTTTAAACTCTAAAATTCAAATTTTCATGTAAACATTTAGACTCCTGTCCAAATTTGGAAAATTAGTGATTTGGAGAGTGTCAAATATGAGAAAAAAAATGTTACAATAAAATTTGGTGGTCCAAAATCTGCGACTTTTAATTTTCATACTTCAAATAAAAGTGATGCTGAAGCTATCTATCGACAATATGAGGAGTGCGCTGCAAGTTTAGAGTTGCCATCTGTCAAACTTGATGCAAGTTCTATAAAATCTCCACGACCGTCTTCAGCACACGAAACTGAAGAAACTGAGTCACAACCTGACGCTGAAGAAAATGAAGCAGAAGAGGTTAATGAGATGGAATTGCCACCACCTAAAGTTGGTATTGCGTTATATGATTTCGACGCTCAAGGAGACGATGAAATCTCAATTCGAGAAGGCGATGAAGTATGGGTTATCGACGATGTTAGTAGCGATGAATGGTGGAAGTGTCGTAAAGGTGATGAGGAAGGTATGGTGCCTTCTTCTTATATTGAGGTAAGCATAAATTAGATGTTATTCCATGGTTTTACATGTATATAGCTTATTAAGGTTAATTGTTTTTTAACAGATACGAAATGATGATGATAATGCTGATCAAGTTGCTGCCGAAGAGGAACGACAACGTTTAGAAGAAGAAGAATTCCAAAGAGCAGAAGAAGAACAACTGAGAAAAGAGGATGAACGTATGAGGAAGGAAGAACGACAAAGGAGGGAAGAAGAACGACAGAGGAAGGAGGAAGAACGACAAAGAAAAGAAGAAGAACGTCACAGGCGTGAAGAAAGTGACAGAAAACGAAAAGAATCAGAAAGGCGATTGTTGGAAGAAAAGAAGCGAAAGGAGGAGTCCAAGTCCCCACCGTCACCACCACCACCACCTCCAGCATTACCAAGTATAATTAATTTTAATAGTATCTACCTTTTCATATTTTCCATACATTAACCTCTTTTTATAATATGACAGCTCGTCCACCCGCTAAGACGAAGTCTTCTTCAGGTATTCTAACTATTATTATATATAACTTGCTTTTTCCCAATTTTATTTTATATACTTATTTTTTCATATTTGATTTATAATGCATAGACGAAGCAGCCATTAAGAAAATCCAAACACCAACAAACCGCATATTACCTGATAGACCTGCCCAAGCCCAGTCAAAAGATAGTATGTTAAGTTTATTATTAGGTTTTACAAAATTAATTTCAATTCTGACATTTTTTTTTTTTTTTCTTGTCAATGAAAGAACCACTTCCATCAAACACAAGAATTTGGACAGATCGAACTGGTTCATTCCGAGTTGAAGCAGAATTTCTCCAACTTGCTGACGGCAAAGTACAACTTCATAAACTCAATGGCATAAAAATTGCTGTTCCCATTGATCGGATGAGCAAAAAAGACCTTGCATATCTTGAGGAACGAACTGGGGAAAAACTAGATGACAAATCTGATAACATACCTTTGGCTGCTATTGTCGCTGGACATAAAGGAAAGACAACCTTAACAAATAAAAATAAATCAGAATATGATTGGTTTGACTTCTTTCTCAAAGCTGATATCACGCATGACGATGCGTTCAGATACGCTGAAGTATTTATCAATGAAAAGATGGATGAAAGTTCGATAAATAATTTAGATCGTAATGTGATGAAAGAGCTCGGCTTGAGAGAAGGTGATATAATTCGAGTAACCAAGTATATTTCTGAAAACTATTCGTCTTTTAAAAAGAAAACCGGTATTAACGAAAATAAGGAAAGAGAAAGGAAGGATAAGGAAATGGCAAAGAGAGTCCAGGTACTTGAAGTATAATAATTTCTTCTATAATATTTGTTTATTAATGATAAAAATCATCATTTAATTATCTTTACATTTATCTGAAATATTCTTATAAAGTTTGAAGAACTCGAAAAATCACAAAAAATGTCAGAGTTTGAAGTAAAGGTACAAATGAAACGTGATGAACAACTAGCTAGAGAACTTCAAGAGGAAGAAAATAGGAAAGCACGTAGTGAAGGACGGCCAATCCCAAAAGATGCTGACTTGTATGGTAAAGGGACTCTAGATTCACTCATTCAACGAGATGACAAAACGACATCATCGAAATCTCCACCACTACTTTTTTCTGAAAACAATGGCGTTTTGAAAAATAATACGAAAAAAGCTCGTCCTACGCCCACAAAAACGGCACCAATACAGGTTGATGCGAAAACTTTTGTAAATACTATGAGCACTAAGGATCAATTGGATGCTGCTTTTAAGCCATCTTCAAATTCTTCAAATTCATCGTCTTCTACGGCACAGAAATTTGATGATGATGCTTGGAAGATTACTGATTCAACTCCCGCGTTAGTACCTACTTCGACGGTGGCTCCACCACCACCACCTCCTCCTCCTCCTCCGCCAGTAGTCACACCAAGACCTCCTCTAAATAATCAATTAGCTAGTACAAATATTTCCACAAATTTGAATACTAGTGCTTTGACTTCTTTAAGTCCTGCTGTTTCTTCTTATTCTAGCAATTCGTCTACATCATTTCATGCCCAACCTTCTCAACCTTTGATACAACAAAATTTAGCCCCCCCTCCCCCGCAACCAATCGTTGTTCCATTGAATTCTACCCTTCATCAGCCTTTAATTCCAGTTAAATCTGGAAGTTCTCCACAACTTACCGCGCAATTTAATTCATCAACTCCGAATTTGAATACTTTTAACGCACCGACTTCCAATGCTCTTAATACAACACAATTTTCAACATCTCCAAACTTGAATTCTCTTAGTGCACCGATTCCTAATGCACTTACTTCAATGCAATTTTCATCAACTCCAAATTTGAATACTTTTAGTACACCGAATTCTAATGCACTTACAGTTTATGGAAGGTCAAATTCGTCTGGGGGTTTTCCAAATTCAAATAATGCAAATTCATTAGGATCTATGGGGAATTTCAACAACTTCTCAAATACGAATAGCAGCAACTGGAACAACTCAAGTAGGTGAAATTATTTTTAGATCATTTGAACTTATGATTTTGATGACTCACTACTTCATATATATGTAGGTGTACCTATGTTGCCCACTAATAATACTTTATCAAATCCTAACCCGGGATTTGGCCCAACTGGTATAAATAATCAGTATATGACAACCACGACAACTGTCCAATATCATCAAACAACCTCGTTCCATCAACCCATGCAGAATCAACAACAAACAAATTCGTCAATATATGATCCGAAAAATGTGTTTGCTTCCATGAAATCTGGACAAATTGGGCCAAAAACTCTATCAAATGATTTAGGCATTAATGGTAGTTATGTTATTAACGGATTACTCATATTACATAAAGTTTATTTGGATCATAAATTTTACCTTATAAATTCTTAATCTATATATAACTTTTAGCATCGGCTGATAGATATGCTGCTTTAAAGCAAGTGAATCCCCAAGGTCCAAGTGTCTTCAATAATACAACATCTACATTCCAGACGCAAAGTACTTATTATTCATACATTTAATTATTGGATTTCATTTTAACCGTTCTAATTAATAGTCATTATTCAAAATATTTTTCTTTAGGCTCAACTAGCTATGGTTTAAATCCAAGTGGATTCAATGCTAATCCCGCAAATTGGAATCAAGGCGTTCCTCTTGGACAACAACCTGGTCAATTTGGACCTAACCAACAGGGATTTGGTACTACTAACACCGGATACAACAATCAACAACATGATAATTTCAACCAAGGAGGGTTTAATAATTTTAACCAAGGAGGTTTTAATAATAACAACAGACAGGTAATATTTTGGTATTTTTGATTTGTTTTTTTTCCTTGCTATTTTATACTAATCGAGTCTATGCATTTATTAGTGGTAAACTTCATTTTTATATATATTAATATTTTATGATCCATTTTACATTTTTTTTTGTATTATATTAGAAGTTATCTGTTATGAACTTTTAACATTAAATAATCTAACTTTTTGTTGACTACAATACTTATGCCAAATTAATTTTCACACGATAAATATCAAATAACTATTTATTTGTATAAGTAAAGATTTTGAATTGTAATAAAAAAAAGGATTATGGATAATTTTCTAGCTGTTAGAAAATGTTTTACAAAGTGCTAAATTTTAGTAAAATTTGACGTTATACAGTACAAGATAATGTATAGATATGTATAGAAAAAATAAACAGTCAAAGGTGTCAAAGCCGAAAGTCGCCTCTACACAGATAACGAATAAGGACAATACTACTTCGAAGGAATCAGAGATTAACGTATAAAAAAACATTTTAATTGGATTTTATTAAATCTATAGAGTATGCCTGTGAATTTCATCTCGGATGATTTCTATTTTTGATGCACATGAAAAATTTGCATTTAGAAGAGTTTGGACCCGGATATCCGGATAAATCGTCAGGTTTTGATTTCAGATATCCGGATAAATCCTACAGATAACCGGTGTTAACCTGCGTGTACCTCCCAGAAACGAGGCTAACGGTTCAACTAATAACAGGGAGTCACGTGAGTACGGAGACACAAGAACCGTACGGTGTAGGGTTGGGGGCACGGGGGCGTGATTTCAAATTTTCACACGGGCACGGGGACGTGATGTTATTCATCACATTTAAATTACTAATTACATGTGATGATTTACTAATCAGTGTTATGTGATGATTCTCCCAAATCACAATTTCTCTACCGTATATACCGGTAGGTGGTAGCTACCATTAGCTACCACTACCGGTAGTATAGCAGACTTTTATTCTGATTAGCTAATTCTTTTACCTATTGCAAGCTGTAATTAACCAATCAGATTTAATAAACTGCTAACCATTACCTACCATCTACCACTTTATGCATCAATCTCACGGTAGCTACTGGTAGCTACTGGTAGTTACCAGTGGTAGATAGCTACCGGTAGCTACCAACTTACATCACTAGCCGTGCCCCATCCATGCTCACAACCCTAGTATGGTGATATGTTAAAGTTATAAGTATACAAGTGAGAGAGTTTTAGTTTAGCTACATGATTTGGCAATTCGAAAGTACGTAATATATTTTTATAGAATCAAAATAAAGAGTGTCCTTTTATTAAAATGGTTTATTTGTTAAAAAAATGCTATGGCAAGCATGTCTACAAAGTGAAGCAAAACTTGCCCATATATAGGGACCTCCATAGCAAAAGGTGGCAATGGGCCAAAAATTTTTATTTTGTAATTTTGTAAAAATTATATGCCAATTACTCTAATTCTTCAAGAAATTGCATTTTTAAGAAAAAAATTTTTTTGGCCCATTGCCACCTTTTACTGTGGAGGTTTCTATATATAATAAAATAGCTACTAATAAGTACATATGGGCTAGGTACTGGGAAAAGAGACCAAATTGACAATTTTTTCAAAAGCTATTTTTTTACATAAATTGATTAAGAATAAGATTAGGATTATTTTTTATTTAAAACACAAAAGTAGTTGTATTAATAAAATTTTGCTATATTGCTCTTTAAAGTTTGTATTTTCTTATAATTTATTATAAGATCTACAATATAAAAATTGATTTTCTGAAGATCTTTTGTTTTGCCAATTTGGTCTCTTTTCTCAGCACCTAGCCCATATGCTCTTTGAGCTATAAATGTCCTAACTGCTATGAGTGTTCCTAATATCTCTTATACTCTTAATACTTTTTATATTCCTTGATCCATTTAATTCTCTTGTGCTATAATGGGAACATATAGCACAATAGATACATGTGGCATATTTGGCACATTAAGTATAGTAAACCCATAACTAACATTCTTGTGATAATATAATTCAAACATGGGTTGGATCTACAAGGATAACAATCTCTTTTGCTAAATTATGAGTTTTATAAGTTCTTATAAAATGAAGTAATACTGTAATCCAATAAAATTAGATTTCTTATCATCCTAAAGTTTAAAGTTATTATTCTGGCTATTTGATTTACTTCCCAATATTTAAAAATATAGTAAACTTGTTTTACTACCATAGCGTGGTACTTAGACAGGTGGCTTCTACAAGCTGCTCGCTATGCTGGAGTGGGTGCTACTGCTTACATGAGCTGGTTTATGAAGAAGACATGGGTAAGAGCTTCTTCTCTTTTACTTTGTCTTTGCAATTGCTATATATCACAGTATGCCACTTGAACTTGTGATTAAAAATCTAAATCTGGATTAATAGTAGATATAATTACTATTATATCTCTGTTTTGAGTACTAATTAGATTAGAAAAAATGTCTTGAAAATTATTATTCATTTTGTGAATATTTGATTCTGATTAGCTACTAGTGTGCCTTTTATAATTTTTTCGCTATCAATTGACTTTAACGTGTTGCGTTTACTCATTCATAGTATTTCTTAATAAAGAAAAGACCTATTGGAGCGGCTATTATCTTTCCTAGTATAGTTTGTAGCTTATATACCTCTAGAAATAGCATGTCATGTACATAATATGGGCCTTTCTACTTTGGTCTTAATTTCTCAGTATGTTATTGGTCTAGAGCAGTGTTAAACAATAGGACTTTATCCCTGATTTGGATAGTGTCAACTTTAGATAACTTCTTATCAAATCTCTCTTTTTGCTTTATTTGTGCTTTTTTAATTTGTCGATTAGCAATTAACCTTTTTTTTAGCAATTTATTCTCTAGCCTGAACAATCAATCTAACAGATTTTCTTCTAAAATCTTGATAGAGGAATCTGGAACATTTGCTATAGGTTAGATAAAAGGGCTTAATCTTTGTGGTGATCTGTTTTATTGTTTTATAAGTAAACAATGTCAGTGAAACTAACAGATTCCATTCTTGTCCTTGGGTCATAAACTCTGCTAAGGATTTGCACAATATGCAATTAAACTACTTTATCAATTTATTTGTCTGTGGATAGTAAGGTGTCAAGAATAAATATTTTATCTAGAATCTTCTTAGCAAGTATTTAATTATATCATTTCTAAAATGCATCCCTCTATCTGATAAAATCAACTCCGAACAACTGTAACAACAAATAACATTTTCATAGATAAATTTTGAGACTTGTAAGGCATTAGCCATGGGGATGGGTTTTGCTTTAGACCACTTTGTTATATAATCAGTGGCTACTACTATATAGCAGTTTCATTAAGCAGTTAATAGTAAGAGACCTATGATGTCTATACCAATTTTTTGAAAATGGTGGGCCTATTGGGATGGGCTGTAATGGTCCTATAGCTTTTTTTTATCTCTGTTATTAACAACTATCATACAACTTGACGTAAATATGAATACTTTTGTATATTTGAAGCTAGTAATAAATTTCTTTGACCTTCTCAAATATTCTGTCTATACCAAAATGATTGCCAGTTGAGTGGTCATGCATTAAGTATAATATAAATTCTACTTCTGCTTCTTTAATAACTTTTAACAGTCTTTTCTAAGATTAATTTCTCCTATCTTTCTTGTATAAGAGTCCATTCCAACATTCAAAGAAACAGCTCTTGAAAATAGTCTTTTTCTATTTCTTTAAGTTAAGACCTTGAGGTAGGCTACTAGTTTTCAAATATTGTTTCAATAGTCTGTATTCATTACTATTTATCTTGATTTGCTTGGTTGCCAGAATACTAAAATCTGGGCTATATTATTTTTTCAGATTTTTGAATTCTTTTCAATTATAATTCTACTTTCTTTAAAGATTTGTTTTTCAATTCTTTTTTATTTGATCATACTAATTCTAATTTCTATAAATTTTCTAAATTTTCTCTATTTAATATATTTATCAGTTTTCTTTCCATACAACACCTTTGTGTTCTATTAATTCTTAGTTTTCTTTTCTATTTTAATTCTTACTAACTTGCTTTAAATTTAATGTGCTCCTTCCTTACATATTGGTATCATAACTAGCCTTTAGTTATGGTGCTGCCCTATCTTTAATATTCTTTTTTTTTTTTCTTTTTTTTTATATATATATGGCTATTACTTATTGTCTATACTACTTTCTTCTACTTTCTATTATTTGATATCCTTTTTAATTGTTATTTGATTTTTTATTTTTTATTTTTTTTATGTATATTTTCATTAATCTATAGTGTTGGCTATTAGGTTTTCAATTATTTCAGCATTAAGGCCACTATGCTAAATTTCATTCATATTCAACCTAGCTTCTCTAGCTTCCTCCTCAACCCATTGTTGTAAAGTTATTAAGTTAGTGGGATCGTTAGCGATAAGGAGAAACGTGATGAACTCTAAGTAATATATAGCTCACTGAAGATCGAGCTGTCTAGTAGCATAATATGTATCCAAGATTAAATATACATATAAAAAGTATTCATATCTACTATTTATGTATAACTTAACAAATAATAGTCTTCTGTAGCATCTTGAACTTATTAGTTCAAAGACCGTTACAGGGACAAAGTCAGATCTATTATTACTTGGTGAGTCCTCATCACTATTGGACAATAATTATTCCTCATTACTACTATTTTGGGGCATAGCTACTTCAAAAATAGGCAATATACTTGATTGGTAGATAGCATTTACTATGTATACTTGGTTTTCTTTTTCCTCCTTCTTTTCTGACTTTATTTCAGTCTGACAATTTACCAAAAAAGGACAATAAAGATCACTCCTATTGTGGTAAGCAGACGCCAATCTGAATATTCTAGAAACAAATTAAGAAAATGCAAATCTTGTAATACAGTATAGCAGTACTGTAATATTCGCTTTAGTACATTTTTTTTTTTTTTTTTTTAATTTTTTTTATTTAAATACTATCGGTAACCTGACATTTTTAGATCTTGACAGTCGAATCTAAATCTTAGTTCAGGAGGAAAAGCCTTAGACATGCTTTACAAAACCACCACGCTAAAAGATTTAGAACTTTT